AGCCAAGATAGTGCTTTAGGCAACATCCGCCATTTTGTATTTTCGAATTTCCAAAAAAAATCCCTCGAGAGCTTCCGAACCCAGGATGGTTAAACGCGCGTTATGCGAAGAACTTTCTAAACACCCTGTATTTTCTGCGTGTAGGGGGAAGAGGATCAAGGGGTCACAGTTGGATCCTTAATTGCATGAACTTTGTATAATCGAGACGCGTAGACCCGTTACCTACTTCAGAAAAGTGCGGATGCAGCTTACCTATTCAGGGAACATCCGTATTTAATTGCGCGAGAGCGGGAGTAGGGAGGGGGGAAGGGCAAGGAAAAGTTGTTTATCCCTTTTATAAATTCGAATTTGAGTTCGAGTTACCGCTTAGCGGGATTCAGTGGGATCCCGTTATTGCTCGAGGAAAGGAACGGGTGCGACAAACCATTGACTTGTGCACCTATGGAATAGAGTCCCTTTATACCCAGAGTTAGGACAATTGATCAATTTGTTGATGTTGTTGTTTTTGTGTGACAGACATCGCAGGATTCCTGATCCTTATCCCTCAATATCATTCGTTTGGGTGCACTCGTTTCGGCCTCCATGGCCAGCCAAGGCCGGCTGCCGGTCAGCTGATAATCGAGTTGTCTTAACTCTGGGTATAAAGGGACTCTACTATGGAACGCCGTTAGTGTCAAAACCCTTTTCTTGCGCGCGCGGAATATTTTTCCGGCGCGCGGAAAGAAAAAAACCCGTTTTCGATGAAAATCTCTGAATTTCCGGATTCCGCGCCCGTTTTCGATAAAGGACTACGTGCAAAACGGGCCATTTGGGGCTCGGGGCCGATACCTTTGAGACTTGCCCTATTCATTCACCTAACAGAGCCCCATCTTTCCTCAAAGTTTCAAGCCCCCCAAAAATTTTGGGGAGACGCGGCGGGGGGTCAAAGTTAAAAACTGGCAAAATTTTCGCGAATTTATTACTCGAAAACCAAGAAGTTTTGGAAAACGCGGTTTAAACGAGCGTATTCAGCGTGACGAGAGCTTTCAGAAAATGTATAACATCATAGGGTTTTGTCTATTTCAGCTCGAGTTATCGCCTCCGAAGCGCCGGAACACTCAAGAAAGACCCCTTATTTTTTCACGTTTGGGCCGATTTAAAAAAAAGCCATTTTTTTATTTTGATAAAAAACTGATATGTTGTTTCTAACTCTCTGTAGCCCCTCTAGCTCTTTACCGCATGCTGGGGAAATGTTTTGGTCGCGAGTTATAAGAGCGGAATGGAGCGAAGGTCGGGAAAATCGGCTATTTTAAACTGCGCGCGCGACGTTGATCGGAGGGAAAACGTCCCCTCCCACTCAGTTCGGCGAATCACACTCCTCTGCCGACCTCGCATTGTTGCCACATGTCTCCTGATCCGTCGCCACGCGCAGTTTAAAATAGCCGATTTTCCCGACCTTCGCTCCATTCCGCTCTTATAACTCGCGACCAAAACATTTCCCCAGCATGCGGTAAAGAGCTAGAGGGGCTACAGAGAGTTAGGAACAACATATCAGTTTTTCATCAAAATAAAAAAATGGCTTTTTTTTAAATCGGCCCAAACGTGAAAAAATAAGGGGTCTTTCTTGAGTGTTCCGGCGCTTCGGAGGCGATAACTCGAGCTGAAGTAGACAAAACCCTATGATGTTATACATTTTTTGAAAGCTCTCGTCACGCTGAATACGCTCGTTTAAACCGCGTTTTCCAAAACTTCTTGGTTTTCGAGTAATAAATTCGCGAAAATTTTGCCGGTTTTTAACTTTGACCCCCCGCCGCGTCTCCCCAAAATTTTTGGGGGGCTTGAAACTTTGAGGAAAGATGGGGCTCTGTTCGGTGAATGAATAGGGCAAGTCTCAAAGGTATCAGCCCCGAGCCCCAAATGGCCCGTTTTGCACGTAGTCCTTTGCGCCGTTTGTGCCAAAACTATTTATGTCGGCGCGCCGCTTCAAATCTGTTCCGCGCGCGGAATTTTCGATATATCAATTCCTGCTCGCCGTTTGTGTCAAAACTATTTTTGTCGGCGCGCCGCTTCAAACTGTTCCGCGCGCGGAATTTTCGATATATCGATTCCTGCTCGCCGTTTGTGTCAAAACTATTTTTTCCGGCGCGGCGCTCCAAATCTGTTCCGCGCGCAGAATTTTCGATACATCGAAAAAGTGGCACGCGGGATTATTTTCTGGTGCAGCGCCGGAAAAAACAGTTTTGACACGATCGGCGAGCAGGAATCGATATATCGAAAATTCTGCGCGCGGAACAGATTTGGAGCGCCGCGCCGGAAAAAATAGTTTTGACACAAACGGCGAGCAGGAATCGATATATCGAAAATTCCGCGCGCGAAACAGATTTGAAGCGGCGCGCCAACAGAAATAGTTTTGACACAAACGGCGCAAATATATCGAAAACCGGCGCGGAATCCGGAAATTCAGAGGTTTTCATCGAAAACGGGTTTTTTCTTTCCGCGCGCCAGAAAAAATTCCGCGCGCGCAAGAAAAGGGTTTTGACACTAACGGCGTTCCATAGTGCACCACTCTGTATATTTATATGAAACTCTTGGGCTATTTGAAATAAGGGAGGACCGCAGATCGGAACTCCGCTTTTAATTGAAGGGGTGTTTAAGGAGGTAGGAGCAGGTTCAGTTGGAATTGCGCGGGAAATATTTGAATATGCCCGGCTTGCCGCGCATCGGTCTTCAACACTCATCAGTCCGTAGAATCAACGGGCATCGGCCGCTGGAGTCCCCCAGCAACACCCTACACCTCTAGAATGGCCGACCAGTGTTAGAGACCCGGAACGTTTTGAAGTTGATATAGGTTAGGTTTACTTGGGCTCACACAGCAGGCTGCCATCTAAACCCATGTCAGACGCTGCCCACATTTTGCCGAATATTGTTGAATAAAGTGATAGCAATGAAAAGATTGCATAATAATCGCACCTCCAAAGGTTTTCTTAACTCAAAAAATAGGAACTTTGAAAGCAAACCTCAAAAAAAATGAAAGTTTACATAGGTTGAAATTTTCACATGTAATCCTTATGGGCAAGACGCAGCAGAAATGGAGATTGAGGTTAGCTATACTTGGGCTCCCACCCCCCTCCTGCCTTCAAAAACCGGCCCTTGCGCGTTACGCAGGTTTGCTATCTCGCGGCCATTCTAGAGGTGTAGTTCGTTGGCAACACCAGCCGTTATTCGACCTAGTCCTAAGATATTTTTTTTTTTCTTCACGAAAAAAAATTATGTATACTTTTTTTTCGGAATTTTTTTTTTAGGGTTACGGAAGCCGTTCCATACTAAATTAAAAACTGAAAATATTTTTTTTTTTTCACACATTTTTTTTTTTTCAAGTTTTTTTCCTTTTACACCAAATGTTTTTTCATTTGCATAATTTAATTTATTTTTTTCAGAAATATTTATTTTCTTTCACTTTATTTATTTTTTCTTGAATAAAATATTTATTTACATGTAAAAATACATATTTTTCTAGCAGACCGAAAATAGTGTGGTATCACTGCGACATGCGCTGTTGCCGTTTCATTTTGCAATTTTTCTTAATACTGTCAACTGTTCATAACAAAAACTAGAGTACCTGTATAGGGGGAGTACCGACAGATCGGTTCATGGAGGGCTTAGGGCCCAAAAGTGCAGCCACCCTTCTAACCAACTTCTAACGCACAAAATTTCACTGCCAGTCTGCAGATTCCAATTCTAACCAAGATGGCCAAGAATGTACAGAAATGAGCGTTCTTCCGCTAAATTGAGTAAATTTATGCAAAAACTGAGTCAAACACGTGCTTAATAAAGGACGGTTCGTAACAATAGTATCAGTAAATCGCTATGGATAATTGAAATTCATAGGTTGGCTGCCCTTTTGGGCCCTAACTTTATTCGTGGAGGCATCGGTGAAGGCCTGATGGACTTTCGGAGTTTCAGATCTGTCGCTACTCTCCCTATACAGGTACTCTAACAAAAACATGCGTTCCTGGTTCCAACAACAGTAATAACAACACCAAGGCCTTGTCTCCACGAGACGTTTCACGAGATTTGTCCCAGGGAAAAATCCCACTTACGAAGTTGGGAAAAATATTGAGTTAATCAATATTTTTCCCAGTACCAAGTATGGTACTTGTGCCCCTGGGACCCACGGAGAGAAGAAGAAGAAGTGAAAACGAATTGTGCGATATTTTATTCATTACTACATTGTTAATGTTTGTTTAGTTAAAATAATGTGTCTAACTGTCAATTGAGTGCAATTATTATTTTAATCCCGTTTAAATACTCGACTTTAACTAATTTATCTTCCCGCGCAAACTAGTTGCAGGACTGTATGAGCCCCGTCCTGTCAAGACGGTAACTGGGAAAAATCCCAGAAGTTTCATTCCTGCGATTCAAACTTGGGACAAATTCCATGAAAACGTCCCGTGGAGACAAGACCCAACTAAGACGGGCTACTTAGTAAACATTTCCATTCTGATTTCCATCTTAGTGAATCAAATTATCCCATTGTTTTCATCGTTTTTCACCTAGTGCCAAGTGTTGTTTCCAAGTACTTTGACTATGACTCCAGTTTTCTTATTAGCCTTTCCTTTCCCTGATGGCAATCATCTTGCGAATTAGTAGTATCTATGATCATAGTAATCTTATTTGCTTTCAAAGTAATACTTTCGCTGCAGAGATTCTGGAAGTATTCTCACCGAAAGTCGTGTTGGTTTGGTCAGGATTTTATTTGTATGCGGTACCAATATCTTTTCCAGTGTTAACTTCTTTCATTTATTGCTTTGCTTCGAGTATATGTTACACACCTTTTTTTGGCCTATAAGCCTATACACGACCTATACACCTATGGGCTGTTCTTGATGCGGTGTCCTCAATTGTACTAGACGCTCCGACTGTGAGCTATGGTTCTGCAATTAGCGAAGTAAAGTGATTGTGATATGATGTCCAAATAGTTTGTGGCGTAGAATCCGAATTTGAGGTTGGTTTTGAACTCCCTCTCCCCCCTCCCACCGGTCAACGTTCAAGTTCAACGTATATTGCCAAATAATCCATGATCAGTACTGATTTACTAACGCAAATTGCTCTTATGCTTCAAAATCGGGGTTGGGGACGTGTAACCGACCAGACATTTTCGGCCGTTACAGTCTTATATTATTCAATTTTATCATAATTTTTTTTACATATTTTTTAGCATAGATACATGGAGATGTTGCATGTGTAATTTGCGATTTGACTGTTGATTTTTGTGTGAAAGTTTGCAAGAAAAACGATGGTGCCACTGGTTTTCTCTGAAATCATCTCTCAAAACAAGAAAAAGCTCTCAAGTTGAGACCAAAATGGAGGGGATATCCCACCAACCTCTCCATACAAAGATAGGGAGCAAATTAGCGGGATTGCCGTGTTTTCAGTTTTGGCATCCCCAAATAAGGTGGCAGTCCTGTCAAAATAGTATTTGCACCCTATCTCTGCATGAAGAATTTGTTTTGATGTAGAGGTAGACTCTCAAGATAGCGTGGGATATCCCCTCCATTTTGGCATCAACTTGAGAGCTCTTTTTGAGCTTGGGAGTTTATTTCAGAGAAAACCAGTGGCACCATCATGTTTCTTGCAAACTTTGACAAAAGAATCAACAGTCAAATCGCAAATTCCTCACACATGCAACATCTCCATTCAGGGACATCACTCCTATTGAATAATCAACTTGGTTTTCAATCGTTTTGCCGTAAGTCGTTTAAAACCCACGGCGACACGACTATTCCTTTTACCGTGAAATCAGCCTTATGGTTAATAAAATCTGTTCATGAAGAGAATAATGATGGTTGACTTTTCAATATTCCTTAGGTCAAGGAATATGTTTCCTTGCAACTATGTAGCATTGTATTCCATTTTCTAAAAATTTCAAAAGGTGTATACTTGTACATTTTGAAAAAAGATTACTTAGGAATATGTACGTGTAGACTCAGGTTTTGGTTTTCAAATCTGAAATGCGCAGAAGTAAATCCTAAGGTTCTTTTCAGAAATTTCTAAGTTTGCTATTTTCATGCTGGAGAGACTATTTTAGTGAGGAACAAGAAACTACCACAGTGTACTTACCATGCGTGACCAATGTGGGCTTTATCATATACAGTTGGACCACAAGAATACCATTTAACAATCCCTTTCTCATTAAGAATAAAAGGCTCCAATTCTTTGGTGAAACTGCTGTAAATCCTGATTTCAGTGGGAAAGCCGTCCACAGGACGAGCCCACTTATTAACACTAGAACTCAATTTTTTGCCTGTTCTTGAAGTACTGAAAAACTTAAAAATTGCCTTAGATTTGCAAAATATCATTTTGGCAATGGTGCACACACTAAAATACCCTTTGACGTATAATACAAAGTGAATACAATCCAAACTGATGTTTACTCTTGAGAAGGAAAGAGGCATGAAAAGTTGCAGAATCCCCAGCAACCATCCGCGTCGGTCACCGGTCAACGATGCATCTTCTTTTCAACAACAATAACGCTACCCTTATATACTACTTATTTCAGTCAACTTTCCAGTTTTCACGGTAGCCCAACGGGTAGCGCACCTGGCTGATACGGTGGAGGTGCCGAGTTCGCCTCCCGTCAGTGGAAAATTTTTTTTTTTTT